AAAATGTTTAGGTCAATAATTTAGTACATCATTAATTCCTATGGACAGTAGTCTTACATCATTTTTCATTAATAAGTTCTTTCTGGAGTTTTGCTCAGATAAGTTAAAAATTGGTAAACACAAATCTTCCACCATATGTCTCACTGTTCCTCAGATGATTCTTATCTTTTCCTCAAGATCTTTAATTGCCTCAGAGACAACTGCGATTCTCTATCCTATTGCTTGCCAGATGCTAATTGGACATGCCTGGTCTAATCTCATAATGACTTTGCACCTTGAAGCTGATAAAGTGATCATCATCATCATCATCATCATCATCATCAGGATTCAGCTCTGCATCTCTGCTGAGGGTGTGGCAATCTGTCCTCTTGATACGAGATTGCTGGAATATCTCAAAGAAAGCAGGAAGCAGTAGGGGAGGAATCACATGTCGTAGACTTCTTGTTCACATCTTATTCAGCTTTAGAAGCCATCTCCCTAATGCACTTTTTTCTACTTGCAAGGTGAGGAATCCATGGAGCCATACAATTGGCCAGCATTTTGAAATGCTATACTTCCAAACTACCTCACGGGGTTACAAGGAATGATACTGGAGTTTGCACACTGATTTGTGCTAAGATGAAACAAGAAAAGCAGAGAATGGTTATTCTGTGTATTTATTTCTTATATTTATTTGATATATTTATTCGTTAACTTGTGTAGTAGCATGGCAAGAGCTATCATACATTTGCTTGGGTTTACCCCCTTTGGGCCTATAACAATCCCATATTACATTTTCTGCCAGCAACGGCAGACTTCTGGTAGGAAATGGAATTAACACGTGAGAAGATTCTATCTATATACACAGACCACGGTACATACACATACACAAAACAGTGACTAAATGATGCAAGTCAACAAATAACAACATAATTCTCTTCTGCAAGCAAAAGAGAGGCATTCAGATGCTGGGATTGTTGGCATGCAACTCTAAGCCATAGTTTAGCATGAGCAAAAAATGTGGACTCCCTGAGAAGAGTTCATTACTACTTTGCCCTTCCCTGGACCGTCTAGAGGGGCTGGGAGCTGGGGCCCCTGTTACAGAGTGGTTCTGCCCCTTCCTCCTGGGCCGTGTTCAGAAAGTGATGGTGAGGGGTAAGTGTTCATGCCACTGGGCCCTCACTTGTGGGGTGCCTCAGGGTTCTGTCCTCTCCCCCGTGCTTTTCAACATCTACATGCGGCCGCTGGGAGAGATCATCAGGAGGTTTGGGCTGGGTGTTCATCAGTATGCGGATGATACCCAGCTCTACCTCTCTTTCAAATCAGAACCAGTGAAGGCGGTGAAGGTCCTGTGTGAGTGCCTGGAGGTGGTTGGAGGATGGATGGTGGCTAACAGATTGAATTCTGACAAGACAGAAGTACAGTGGTACCTTGGTTTGCATACTTCTTGGTTTGCATACGTTTTGGATTACAAACACGTCAAACCCAGAAGTGCGTGTCCCGGTTTGCAACCTTTATTTGAATTACAACCCTTTTTAGGATTACGAAAAAAAGGTTTTGGAGGCCTCACCTGTTTTGGTTTACAAACGGACCTCTGGAGCGGATTATGGTTGTAAACCAAGGTACCACTGTACTGTATGGGGGGGCAGGGTGCAGGCAGATGTGGAGGACTCCCTGGTCCTGAATGGGGTAACTGTGCCCCTGAAGGACCAGGTGCACAGCCTGAGAGTCATTCTGGACTCACAGGTGTCCATGGAGGTGCAGGTCAATTCTGTGTCCAGGGCAGCTGTCTACCAGCTCCATCTGGTACGCAGGTTGAGACCCTACCTGTCTTGCCAGAGTGGTGCACGTTCAGCTTATCTCCTGCTTGGACTACTGCAATGCACAGCTAGACTGGTGACTGGAAGTGGCCGCCAAGACCATATAACACCGGCCCTGAAAGGCCTACATTGGGTCCCAGTACGTTTCCGAGCACAATTCAAAGTGTTGATGCTGACCTTTAAAGCCCTGTTTAGGGAAGTTTTTAAAGTTTGATGTTTTACTGTGTTTTTAATATTCTGTTGAGAGCTGCCCAGAGTAGCTGGGGAGGCCAGGCCAGGTGGGCAGGGTATTAATTATTATTATTATTATTATTATTATTATTATTATTATTATTATCCCTAGTCATTTTGTTGCTGCGCTGAAGTAAACTGTGGTTTGGCTTAGCATGTTGTCTAAACCTGGGCTCTTGGTTTAGCTGTCTTAGACAAATGATGAGCTGTACACCACGGGCGCATTTTCATTTCACGTGCATGAAGGCGTAGCCCTTGGGTGATCTCCCCTCACCAATAAATAAGACACTAAGTCTAAGGTTGGGAAGGCCTAATCCCTTTGGGGTCCAACTCTCTGAAATAGTACCTCTCCCAGTACCATCCTGCCCAAGTCAGAGAGGCACACTTGATCTTTCCACCACCAAGAGAGATTTGGCTTGCCGGAACCCAAACAGGGTTTTCTTGGTGGTGACATCCTGACTCTGAAGCAAGCTCACCTATGAGATCAGGCAGTTTTGATGACTGTTTTGAGGACAGCTAAAACCACTTTTGTTTGTTGACTCTTTGTGTATTGGTAGTAGAATAAAATTTATTTTTATCAATGTATTTTCATTATTTTATTATATGTGCACATGCAGAGAGAGAGGTAGACAATATACGTGTGTGTTTGTTGTGTGTACCCTGCCTTGAAGTGAAGATGAGGAGACACTTTTCAATAAGAAATAAATAATAAATCTTTCAGCTCACAGGTCCTTTGCTGCATTTTAACCAGGACTGTGTGTGTTTTGCTGCTCTTTTATTAGAGGACACTTTTCAATGCCATCAGTGCCATCTGCAGGATATTTTGAAAATTTATACCTCTTATTTGATCGCCTTTCATTGCAGGTGTTCATTCATTTAGATTCGAAGCCCCCAAATAATGTTTCTTTTTGTGTGTTTGTGTGAAGTACACCCACCCACCCCACTCTATAGTGTATTTGCCAATTGAATCGGTCTCTGACAAGCAACTGGACATAGCTGAAGGTCAAAGCACCAATCTAGATCATATGTGAAATGTGTGATCTGCTTTTTAATTATTCTTTCACTAGCAGATACAGAGCTGCCTCCCCTCCCTTCACAATCGGGTTTAGCCTTTTCTGCTGTGCCATGGTAATGCAACCACCCTCCATTCCCCAAAGCTGAGGCTCACTTTGGAAGGTAAGCTTTCATTGGTGCCAAATGTCCCTGAAATCAAGTGGTCCACAGTGAGTGCATATTGATAAATGAAGCTCCTTATACCGAGTGCATTGAATCCAGAGCTGCCTCCTCTCTTTGGCAATGGCTCTCCAAAGTCTCAGGTACGGGACCTTCGCAGCACAACATGAGATCTTTTTAACTAGAGATTCACAGAGACTGAACCTGGCACCTTCTGTAGGTAAATTAAAGCCTCTAGCAGTTAGCATGACCCCCCCCCCACCTATGGGTTGTTTGGAAATATAAAAAATATCTCCAGAAAACAATGTAAGTGCAAGAAGGAACATCCAGAGCAGCCTGATGCTTTGAGGACTGGGGCAGTGAGCATATACATTTCTCTTCCTCTGCCAGGTCTGGATATCAAAATCACTGTTTAATTATGGTGTTTTCGCCACAGATGTGACCTGGTAATTATTGTTTTGCATGTTACTTTTCCAGGCAAGCAGACACACAAGAGCTATTCCCACACTTGCAAAATCCCCACAAACACAACATAACACAATATAATAATGATATTGTGACGGAAGCATATGTAGCCAATTTGCACAGCCAGTTACATCTGGAATATTTAAGACTTCATATCATGCAGAATCCTCAGAGCCCTTGATCTTGTTCTGAGAGCCAAATGCTATATATAATTACTGTACATTCTTTATGTCCGGAATCAACATGCCATTGTATGTAAGGAAACATGTATGTTTGAACACAAATTCTCAGCTATTTGGCTGACCACATACCACCTGGGTCACGCCCAGGAATGCCCTGACCTTGTGCCTTTGCCCAGACTGTTCCATCACTCCCTTTAATCCATCATCTTCCAATGAGACTGTAAATCACCAATGACTATCATGGCTATATTTACTGCACTGGCAGTGGTCCATTAGCCACTGGACTGGAACATGGCTAGCTCTTTTCACTTGTTTGAGCTCCACCATCTGAAGCTGTTCTTGTAAAGCCACATAAGTAAAGGTAAAGGTACCCCTGCCCGAACGGGCCAGTCTTGACAGACTCTAGGGTTGCGTGCTCATCTTGCTTAAGAGGCCGGGAGCCAGCGCTGTCCGGAGACACTTCCGGGTCACGTGGTCAGCGTGACATCGCTGCTCTGGCGAGCCAAAGCCGCACACGGAAACGCCGTTTACCTTCCCGCTAGTAAGCGGTCCCTATTTATCTACTTGCACCCGGAGGTGCTTTCGAACTGCTAGGTTGGCAGGCGCTGGGACCGAGCAGCGGGAGCGCACCCCGCCGCGGGGATTCGAACCGCCGACCTTTCAATCGGCAAGCCCTAGGCGCTGAGGCTTTTACCCACAGCGCCACCTGCGTCCCATGTAAAGCCACATAATATTTCCTATTATTCAACCTTCTCCACTGCCAACCTCTAAACTGATGCCAAACATTTCCCCACCTTCTGCTAAGTGTTTGTAGATGATGATGTGGTTAATGTCAGGTCCCTTTCTAGGCATATTGCTTGGGAGGAGAGAGAGAGAGAGAGAGAGAGAGAGAGAGAGAGAGAGAGAGACCTTCTCCTGGGATTTAAGAGAAGTCCCTAGGGGTTGTGCCAAGATAAGCAGGCACATGCCAAATATGCCCATTCACTAACTGAGGTGAGAGAAGTAAAGCAACAACCTTTAATCATCATCATCATCATTCCAAACACCCCTGACCTTGCTCTAATAGGATTGTGCCAGGATTAGCCAGTGACATAGATTGGAACTGACTTCATTGTGCCTGCATAGGAAGGCCCAGCTCTTGGTCTCTTACCTGCCCCTTGACCTCCGTCCTGGTGGCAAACATCTCCTCCTTTGCTTCGCCAGGCTGCCAAGGGAGTTTCTCACTGCTCCAGCCCTTCCTTCCAGCTGATCCTCTGGTTTGTCATCCTGACCATAGTCACCTGGCATGACGTCTTACTGCCAGTACATCTTTGACCAGAGGCCTGACTCTATCTTAGTAGGAAGCAATAAAGGCTAAGAATATGTCAAGATATAAATTTGCCTCTAATAAGAGGCTCACATATACTCATAGCTTTCTAGAAGAAAAGAAATATCCCAACATGATTTCTTTATGTCCCTTTCAGATACTGTAGGATAACCACCACCATATAGTATTGTATCGTATCGTATAGGATAACCACCACCATATAGTACTTAAGAGCATTCTTAAGTGGTTCACTAATGATTACAACAGTCCTGTATGGTAGGTCAGTATTTAAATCCCTATCTTGTACACATGGGACTGGGAGCTCTAGAAGATTTGCTGCCTGATTTGATCTGGGAGATTATGTCAGATGCAAGTTTTGAACTTGGCCACTACCTGGTGGTCTGACAGCACTTGAACCTCTGCAGGTCTGAATCTCAAAGCTGCCTGGGGTGGGAAACTGCATAGGATTTTTGGAGAAGAAGTGCTATATGATAAACACATATAACGTTTCCCAGAGATTTGCAGAATGCAAAATGCAATCCTGTTTGAGGAGGGCCAGCCCATGGCTGCCAAGAGACAAGGTGACACCCCCAAGTCCAAGTACAGAAGCCAACCAAGCTGGCAGCTGGATCTTCCTTTGACAGGGGAAATAGCATGGCATCTTCAGGGCATCTTTAAGGGGCACAAACACATCTCTCTGCCTTGCAGCAGCTCTCTGCCCCGGCACCTGCCACCTCCTTTCTGTCCACCTAGTTGTTGCTACCATGGAATATGTGACTGAAATCACATGCGCCCAGCAGTATGGGCTGGAGAGTTCTGGGTGGAGCATCTCTTTGAGCACACAATTCAGCTAGGAATGTCCACGTGGAGGTCCTGCTTTTTGGCTGGCTGGGGCAGCTGACTCCCTGACAGTGGTTAGGCTGCGCTCTCAAATGTCTCTAAGGACTGTGTGTATTCCTTGCAGCTGCATTGTTTGGTGTGTACATTTGACTGGATATCTATCAATTTATTTTATGTACTTATTTCATAAAATTTATATACAGCTTGATTGTAAAAAACCTCAAAGCAGTTTTCAAAAATAACAAAAGTAAAAACAATTCAAACTTTCAAAAAATTAAAACCAGCAATAAACTGAAAAGCGCACCAGCAGCTGGGTAAGCTTCCTTAAACAAACATGGTTTGAGCAGGTGCCAAAAAGCACAAAATGAAGGTGCCTTCCTGATATCACAAGCAACACATTCCAGACTTAAAAATATGTTCTTGAAGCTGCTTCAAATGTGCCAGTATTCCTCTACAGAAAGGAATTTTGAATAGGCAGCAGTGTGCCACATGCCTGCAGATCATGACGTGAAATGGCTTCGCAAATGTTGTATACTAAGTGCCTGTGCCACAAAACTACAGACTTGTGCAGCTGAGAAAAGCATTGCATGGACTCACACTTTCCCATACAGAAGAATGTTTTATGTTTGCATTTCATCCTGTCCAGTGCAGCACCAGGAGACCCTTCCGACAATGTCCTGAGCTTGCCCTGGGCATCTGGTTTAGAGCTGATATCTTTGAAAGCAGGGCAACATCCTGATTCCCTCCATCCTGACAGCCTCTACATCATTACATTTTCAACTGCCACCTGGTTCAAATTCATAGGGAAAAGGCAACATCCTACCTTATCAGACATAAGGACAGCAACATTTCCCTGGAGCTCATCTGCTTTATATATGGAGAGAATGTGGACATCCCAAAGTCTCCATGGTTCTTTGCTCTAGGCTGCTTCCTAGAGCTCATAGGGCAGAGAGGCTGGGGAGGAGCTGCAACTTTCCAAATGGGGGTATTAGGGTAATGCTAATTCCTAATTCCCTTGGTTAAGCCTTCCTGCTGCTAAGGACCACTCTACACAGAGAGATTCATTGCAGAGCTGGGTCAGGACCGGGGTGGGTCAGGACCTTGTCAAGTTCTGATTCTCAGTTTGTCATTTTCTGAAGCTTAAGTTCAGCTCTCCAACTCAGTTGCAAATTAGCTTTTTCAACAAAATAAGTTCTCGTGAAAATTCACCAGCATTTTAGTATAGATTTTTAGTATGAAATTTTGCCTTGTATACACATTTTGGCAAAGCAATTTCCCTTGATATAATGTGTTTTTGCATGTTATTTTCAATAATATTTGTATTTTTATGCAAACTTCACTCTTGTATGTGGTTATTTATTTATTTATTTTACACATTACTTGGCTGGAAAACTGCATTTAGGAATTTGGAGAAATTAGTATTGTGTTGTCCTTATATGGAAGCTGAATGAAAGTCCCACCCACCCACATCCTTACTCACAACAGAGGTGATCAGAAGAGTGACTAGAACTGGGGTGGAGGCTCCAAGACCTCACCTTTGATTTAACACATCACATTATTTTTTTCACCGAGGAGAAAACCCCCAGAATCCTTTTGTCTGGTCCCTCTGCTACAGGGTCCTCTCTTACACTGGGAGGGACAGCAACCTATGGGCTCCTCAGCCTATGGGGTCTGGATTCTCCTGGTCTACTGTGGCCAGATGTGAATTCAGTCCCAAAGCAACCCAACTAGGGAGAGTTCAGCTGGCTGTCAAACTTGGTCGTAGCTCGAAGAGTCAAGAATCCAGTTCCATAGTTCTCAGTAGGAAGAGACCTCCTTTAGAAGATGCAAACAGTTGCTAGTTAAGAGGACATTACTATGGTTTTGCATAGATTTGGGTTAACCTGGGATTTAGCCAGGATGGGCTGAGGCAGCCCCGGATCAGGACCACCTGTGGCTGTCAAAAGGTAGGGCTGTTTGGTGACTAGGAGGTGGAGGGAGGAGACATATGTAGGCGGTTCAAAACCCTAATTAAACCCTGCGAAAGACCCCTGAATTGGTTTGGGGGCCCCAATCTAGGTTGGATGATTCTGGGTTAGACTGGAGCTGCTCTAAGGTGCAGGTTTGGGTATGGAATCAAAAGTGGGGGCTATGCACAGCACTAAAATTTATGTAATTCACCTGTTAGATTCCCTGTACATGCTTAAAGCATCAAAATAAAGCTTTGTTGAGCCATCTGCATGTGCCTAAGTGCTTCCTCTTCTCAGATTTTCCATCATCACCTCCGGCTCCACCTACTTGTTTCCTGGCTCAGTTCAACGTGGCACTGTTAACCTTTTAAAATCCTTAATGGCCTGCAACCAGAATGCCTTAAGAACCACCTGCTCTCAAATGGACCTGCCTGAACCCTGAGATCAGAGTCTTTTCTACTGTGAGTAGGAATAAAGAACAGGGTCCTTTCTGTGGTGGCACCTAGTTTGTTGAATACCTCCCTTGGGGTGAGCTGCAGCATTCCTTCTCCACTTTCCAAATCGTATTTTAGAAAACAACTTGTTTCAGCCATACTTTTTACTCTCTGGGTGGCTGCTGTGGTTGCTAGTGATCTGTTGATGCTGCTATGTCTTTTTTGTTATGCTGATTTAATGATTTTAAGTCTTATGGACTGGTTGCTTTAAATGGTGTAGTTAACTAAATTAAGAGCCCTTTGCTCCTGAATTCTAATTGAGTGGCAAGTATGCGGGGATGGTGGCACTGCTATGCTTTCCAAGGATGTCTCTGCTAGCAGTTCTCCCTCTCCCCCTCCTTCTCCTAACACCTCATAGCTTGGCAGCTCTGGGTTCTGCTATAATTCAATCCTGTCTCCCTCTTCTCTTGAAACTACTGGAGAAGGGGGAGCGACCCCCCTCTCCCCCTCCTCCGGCGGAAGCAGAGGAGAAGGAGGGGGTGATCCCCAGCCCCCCTCTTCAGTCCAGTCTCTGATAAGTAGTTAACTACATTAAGAGGGCAGATTAATTCACCTTTCTCGGACTGAGCTACAAGCAGGTGCCAGAGTGCATCCTGCTGAATTCTAGCACAAATTAAGCCCTCATTCTGGTGGCATTTCATACATGACATTAGGTAGAGTTGCCGTATTTCAAATAGTGAAAATGCAGACAGAAAAGTTGTTGAGCTTTCGAGCCATTACTGAGGTGTTTTTATGGGAAATCGGCAAATCCCATTAAGCCTCTAACTGCCATGCCTTTTCTGACCACCTGATGGAGCTAGCAAGCTACTGGCTGCCACAGTTTAGGACAAGTCGTAGCAGTTCTGAACAGTTTCTGATTTTAGATATAGGCATTATTATTACTGCACAAAGTCTAATGCTTGTTTGGTGACCTTCACATATAGCTGGATAAGAGATTCTGCACCAGGCACCTCTGGGAAGCAGGAATCCGCCCCCACTCCAACCCCATCCTGCATGAGACTTAAATATAAAAGAAACTGTGCTGTGCATATAGGTCAAGGTTCTCTTTACAGAATTCCAAATCCCTAGCTCATGACGGGCAGTGCTGAGTGGCAGAGGCTTGCCAGAGTTTCAGACAAAGGGGCAGGTAAATAAGGTAAAGGACCCCTGGACAGTGAAGTCCATTCAAAGGCAACTATGGGGTTGCAGTGCTCATCTCGCTGTCAGGCTGAGGAAGCCGGTGTTTGTCCACAGACAGCTTTCCGGGTCATGTGGCCAGCAGTACTTAAACTGCTTCTGATGCAACGGAACACCGTGACAGAAACCGGAGCGCATGGAAACGCTGTTTACCTTCCTGCCACAGTGGTATCTATTTATCTACTTGCACTGGCATGCTTTCAAAGTGCTAGGTTGGCAGGAGCTGGGACAGAGCAATGGGAGCGCACCCCGTTGTGGGGATTCAAACCACTGACCTTCCGATTGGCAAGCCCAAGAGGCTCAGTGGTTTAGACCACAGTGTCACTCAAGTCACAAAGTGCCACAAAGGGGCATTCCCTGTCCAATCAGGGGTTGAACTTTCTGTGGGCCAAGCAGATGTTCTATCCCTGAGGAACAGCTCTTCCCCCAAAAGTATGCAGGAAAGGGGAGAACAGCCCCATATCATTAGAGGCCATTGGTGGGGGCAGCGCTATTCAGGACATACAACATCAGAACCTCGAG